GGCGGTGACGTTTTCAAAGCAGTGGATCCACTTTTTGCGCTCGGAGCGCTGTCCACCCACGTCAAAGATGCGGTAGATGCGGTCCTGGAGCGGGAAGGTGGTCTCGATGATGCCGGTGGTCTTGTTGCGACACCGCAGAATGTCGGCCTCCGAGGGCGAATAGTCTGCGCTGAAGAGGCGCTCGAGATCGGCGTAGTAGTAGGCCATGTTGTCGGGAATAGCGGCCTCGTTGCCGCGCTTGTAGACCGATTGGACACCCTGGTCGTTCCAGAGCGCCTGGAGTGCAACGAGGTAGTCGTGTGGGAATGGCTCGTCTTCGGCGATGTCCGGAAAGGCGACAAAGAGCGCGAGGTGTTCGACGTTGGCATGATCGTGCAGGTCGATGGCCCACTCCTCCATGACATCGAGGATGGTCTTCATGCCCTGGACGAGGTTGAGGAAGACGAGGCGACGGAAGTTTTCGCGCTCCTCATCGGTAAAGGGGATGTGGTGGATGATGCGCATCGACTTGAGGATGGTGGACTTGCCGCTCTCACCTGCGCCCAAGAGGAGCAGCTTGACTTCCCTCGACATGTTCTTCTCATCCTCCTTGATCTGGCGATCCAACGCCCTCGACTTTTTGAACTCGGGCGTGTCGCTGGACTGCTCCGTAGACATACACGCACCCATCTTGAAGGCGCGATTGATCGGGGTGGTGTGGCAGAGTCAAGGGCGTCGGCTGATCCGCGAGGGCGAAGATTGGTGAATCCCGTCGGAGATGCTCCGAAGATGGCAGCAGCGGAGAAGAGCCGAAGGGCCGAGCGAGAGTGAGAGCGCAAAAGGTCTTCAAAAGCTGACGAGCTGAGCGAGCGAGCGATACAGATGCCCTTGGCTCCTGATTGTCGCAGTCTTGCAGAGTCGTGCGATCCGAGCGTCAGCGTGCCGAGACTGGATGCGTGCGTGGCTTGCACCCGAGATCTATGCGGGAGAGTTTGGTGGGAGAAGAGGCCGTAGCAGCTATGAGGTATGCCAAGCGCACGATGGAGGGCGGTGGTCTGGAGGCGACGCAGCCGGCAGTATCGAAGAGTGAATGCTGGTGATTGTGAGCGACGGCGGAAGCAAAAGGACAAGATGCGGTTGCCAGTGTCGGAAGGAGCGGGGGCGGGGCAGAAGTATTTGACAGATGCTGCAGCCCGTGACTTTGCGGCTACTTTATCGTCTTTGCACGTCCGGACCGAGGCAGCAAGGTGCAGTGCTGCTATGCACAATGCCAAGGGATCGCAACCGCTGCAGCGTTGGAAGACGACGTGGCTTGAGCTGGGTTCGGCAGCAAGACAGAGCGGGGCGGGGCTGCGAGTTGGGTGGATGCCCCCACCTCGACAGATGAAGTTGCCACGCGCCACAGGCACAAAGCTACGCGCCCACCACTGCAATCTCGAGTGAAGCTCTTCCGCCCAAGAGGGTCCGAGAGCCAATTGAACCAGTCGAGCAGGCCGATGGAGACGGCGCAGCAGCAGCAGCACAGCGGCTAGCTCCGGATGGGCTTCTGTGCGTGTGCTTTCTCTCTTCGTTGGCCGTGCATGCAAGTGCACGCGAGCCAAGCGAAGGCTGGGTGCGTGCGTGGGTGCGCGTGTGTGCGGGAGCGGGTGCGGGTGCGGGTGCGTTTTGCGTTTGGTTGCGCGTGCGCTGGGTGGTGAAATGCGGGCGTCAGGTCGGAGTTTGGAATCGCTTGTCACGGCAGATCCTTAAATTTCCAGCCCAGATCTGGCTCCGCGTCTCTCTCGGCCTCGTCGGTTGGCGCTGCTGAGCAAAGCTGCCTCTCGGCACCATCCCGAAGGCTCGAATGCGCACGTCCTCACCAAGTCGTGAAGGTCGACAGTTGGAGGGCGTCGACGGCTCTCGACCGGTGAAAGAGCTGGTGTCGAGGAGAAACTCAGCAGCGCGTATTAAATGCTGTCTCGACGTAGCCGCTGTATTCACTGCATGTCCAGCCAATTTGGAAGACGCACGCGGCGTCAATGAGAGAGCAAGTTACAGGCTTGAGATGAGGGCGCTCTTTGGCCCGTCTATCGACCGAGCCCAGGAACTGGGACCGACATCGATAGTATCATTTCGCGGTGAAGAGCCGTGGCAAATGCACCTAGAACAATGGCGGGTCGAACGCAGCAATTGCTTGACTTGTGGCAGCAGCAGCAGCAGCAGCAG